GAGTGCTAATACATATACCTTATGCTTACATAATTAAATTATTTGCATTATATTTTTAAGTGCAAAGAACTGACCTAGCACTATTACTATAAAAATTATCTTATAGTATATAACACGCAATGGTTCGTATTATATGTGGCATTATATTCATACTTTACATGACTTAAAATATTTTTTAATATCATCAACATGTTGAAAGAATATATAAAACTATCACTAGTAATGCCTTAACTATAAGATTCAATTTACTAGGAGTAAACCCATCCTGAGATCCACGAAGTAACAATTTAAATTCATATGAAGTATTTAGGTTATCTGCAGGTAGAATTTCTCTATAGGGTATTACTGTATCTGAAATTTCTTTAGAAGTAAAATTATAGAATTTAATGAAAGTGATGCAACGTTGCAAAGTACCTCTCAAATACACTGAAATCATCCTTTGATAAATTTGCAGGGTCTGAAGAAAATTCAGGATTTTGAGCATGTCCACATTTTTCCAAACTTGAATTTCACTCAATCATTTGAATGAACGATATCAAACTTTTTCTGAAATTAAATAGTAATTTGATGAGTTAAATATCTTTTCTGGTATTAAATTGATATAACATTTTTGAAAGGTTCAAGAAAGAATTATTTTCAAAGCTTGTTTATATGTTATTTTATAATGATCCTTAGATTTTATATTATTTGCAGATTTACGTAAACTAAGATTCCTGAAGAATGAAGGTTTGTAAAAAACGCAATAATACATATAATACGTTGCAGAAATGCAAGAAGTTAATTTATCTGCTTTTATTAAAATTTCAGAAATTTCAAATATCTAAAACATAATTCATAAAAAAATATATTTTCCGGAGGACTTTTAAATAATTATGTTTAACACAAACCGTGCTGTCCGCACACGCGATCGGTATATAAACAAAAAAAAAACTCGATTTTAACATGGAATTTGCTTGTAACACCCGGTTTAAGGTAAATATAGGGAATTTATGCTATGAACTTTCTTTCAAAGCATAGTTTAGGATAAGTGTATTAGGAAAAAAAATAAAGAGACATTTACTGACGATTAGACTAGTGAAAAAATGGTGTTTGTGTGACTAGCGTTTAAATTATCCTGTATAAATTAATTTTAAATTGCTGATCCTTTTTTTTTGACGTATTCTTTATAGTTAAGACCGGCAAGTCATGTTGTACATCTAATCTAATTCCGGTTAATGAATTTAATCGGAATTTTTTTTTTTCAAATATATATTTTTTTTAAATTTTTTCGGTTCATTTTTTTTTCTTGAACCGATCTTTGAAAAAAAAGAAAGAACCATTTGTAAAATTTCCTCTTCTCTTTCAAAACACCTTTTCTTTCCTTTTTTTCTTAAAAAAAAAAATAATTTTCGTTTTTTTCCCCTTTCTTTTTTCTGTTTTTTTTCTTCTTTTTCCGTTTAGATTTGGTTTTTTTTCCAAAGCCGAAAAATTATTATTATTTTTTTTTTACATCATTTTTTTCGGTCTTTTTTTTTAGAATTTAGACAATATTATTAATTTTTTTTGAATTTTTTTTTCGGCCTTTTTGGACCGGATTATTGTCCTTTTTTTTCAGAATTTTTTTCGGTACTTATTTTTTTTTTAAACCGATTTCTTTCTTTATCCTTTTTCTTTTCCCCCAATTTTTCCAATTTTTTTTTTCTTTCTTTCGAATTTTTTTTTTATTTTTTCTTTCTTTTTCCTTTCGGTTTCTTCGACTTTCCTCTGCCCCTCCCTACAAAATTTTTTTTTCGTTTTTATTTTTTCGATTTTTTTTTGTTATTTTCCGGATGGCTTTTTTCCAATCTTAAAATTTTTCTTTTCAGTTTGGCTTTTTTTCTTTCAAACCGAATTTTTTTTTCCGAATACATTCTTTCACCATTTAGGTTTAGATCGGTGATCAGATCAATGTTGCGGCGCCATGGCATTTGCCTTTTTTCCTGATTCATATTATTAATAATAATATTATTTTTTTTGTATCAAGCTCAATAATAAACTAACATAATTACTTAGTATTTATTTATTTTTTGTAACAATAGATCGTTATAATTAATTTTTCTGGTGAATTTTTTTTTTTCTAGAGGATGTAATTTTTTTTTAATGCTAAAATGGAATTTTTTAAGATAAAAAAAAAAAAGGTTTTTTTGTAACAATATAACAATAAACTACTTATACAAAATTGTTTTGTAATGAATTTGTAAATTTCGTGTGATAAATAAAATTTGCATTTAATAATAATATTTCATATACTGTATAACACTTGCACACAATTCATTAATCATGTAAATTATGTAATTTATTACATCTATTTCCTACTAAAGCCATCATAATAATAGTAAAAAACTAGACCTATTCACACCATGGCAAATAAAATATAAGTGTTATTATTACTATCTTACTTGATCTTGATGGGCAAGTATCATCCCCGGAGCAACGCGACGGGTTATCGCCTAGTTGTATTTAAAATTTAATTGAATTTAGTAAAATATATAAATAATATCAGTTTCAGGTAAAACTCTATCCGACTTACAAAATATTGCAAGATTATTTGGATATTAAAAAATAGTGACACTAATATTACTCAGAATTGTAAAAGTTTTTTGGATTTAAATAATAATTTAAATAATGGTTGAAATTATAATTTATTATTATGTTAATTACATACTCGTCAGATACTTTGTAATCGGATTAGTATAAATGCGCCCAATTCTTTTTTTAGGTCTCCTTTAAGCAGTTCCTTTAAGTAAACGAGTAGCAACAAGATGATACCCTTTTCTTCGTGGATACCTTTAATCTATGCGATATGTTGAAAAAGAATGTTTACCAGCTCAAACATATTTCATTGCCATAGTCGTGGTTAGTGATTCTGACTTAACTGAAATCAAATGTAGTTTTAGCTATTTGTTACAATTGTTAAAAGCTATAATAAAGTTTAAATGACCTATGTTTAATCAAAGCTAAAATTAACTTTTGTTTACAATACACATTTGACTCATTTGAATTTAATCAAAGGTTGGACCATGTTATTTAACACATTTCGCAAATTAAAAATTTAAATAACAAAATAAAAATAAAATTTTTATTTAATTTCTATCTATAATTATAACTTATAGTCATGTATATAGTAATGGAAGAACTAGGAAAAGATAATTAGTGATTTTTTTTAAACAATACCATTAATACTTCTTTTCCTATAATTTCCTTTGAACAGATTGTTCAATAACGGTTTAATATAATCTACACTAAAGCATAGTTTTGAACAAAAAAAAGGTTAGACTCTTTACCAAATGTTGGTAATTTTAAACTAATAAGGATATTTAGAAAAACATGATTAATAATAATTTATTTATTTTTAATTTTTAAATTTAATTTAAACAGGTAAATCAGTTCGTAATGGACTGTCACGGTAATATCTTTTTAAAGTTTTTTTTTACTTTACAAAAATTTATTCTCTGCCAAATCTGAACTAACAAAAATAAATAAAAACCAATTATTTTTGAAATCCATATATTCGAGATTAACCTATTATTGTGGGTTTTCCGTTACAAAACCAATCAATGATGTATTTACAGTATCGGCTACGTATTTGTTTCGATAATGCTCGATCTTCGTAATTTTTCTGCGGTGATAAACATTAAAATTTACTGCGCCATTGCACAAATTTGTGAAACCACATGAGGTTGTGTACCAACCATCTGCTGAAAAAAAATATTTAAGGAATCATTCAATCATTTTATTTTATTTATTTTTTTTTTTTAAAAAAAAAATTATAATGGATGATAATAAATTTTTACCAAAATTATCGCACAATTTACTCGAAATTTTGAACGATGATGAGTATTATGATATAACAATCGAAGTTGGTAATGACCCTTACGTAAAAATATTCCGTGCTCACATGGTCATCTTAAATTATCGTTCTAATTATTTACGAAGAATTTTGTCAACAAATAAAAAGAAAAATGATGAAACTTTGGTACATATTAAACTACCAAATATCTTACCTGAAAATTTTCAAATAATTCTAAGGTAAGTAAATACAATAAATAGGTTATTATTTTACAAATATGTAAATAATTTTTAATTTATTGTAAAATGATTATATTTCAGATATATTTACGGATGAAGACTTTCTTTGGATGGATGTGATACTTTGGATATTTTTAAGATCTTGATTGCCGCTAGTGAACTTAATCTTCAAGAACTAGTTAGCTATTTACAACTTTATATTATTGAAAATAATAAAAATTGGATGGAACAAAATTTTAATTTCGTATATCAAACAACTTTTGAGAATAATTCTTTTTTAGAACTTCAAAATTATTGTACTAACTTAATTTCAAGAAGACCGGATAAGATTATTAAATCAATTAGTTTCTTTTCAATACCAGAAAAACTTCTGGTTTCAATTATTCAAAGTAATAATCTTCATATGAGCGAAATTCAAGTTTGGAAATATATGATTAAATGGGGACTTGCGCAGAATCCTGGACTTCCTTCTGATCCTGCAACCTTTTCAAAAGATGATTTCAATGTATTAAAGAATACTTTACAGCAACTCATTCCTTTCATCGAGTTTACTAATTTAACTCCTAAAGAATTTTCTGATGAAGTATTACCTTATAAGAAAGTTTTACCAAAGGAATTATATAAGGATTTATTGAACATTTTTTTAAATTCACATCCTGATAGCAGACCAAATGATATATCAAAAATTCAAAAGATCAATTCAAAAATTATTACATTTCAACATGCTGAATTAATTTCAAAATGGATTAGTAAATTAGATATCATTACGGGCAAGTCGACTTCCTTGTACGAATTCAAATTAATTCTTCGTGGATCTCGTGATGGGTTTGAATCTGATGTATTTCATGAGATATGTGATGATCGATCTTGCACTATAACAATTATTAAAGTTAAAGGAAATAACCAAATTCTTGGAGGATATAATCCAATTGAATGGAAATCTGATCGTAATTATTGTGCTACTAAAGATAGTTTTATATTCTCTTTTAAGAATGGTAATGATATTAATGATCATATTTTAAGTCGTGTTACAAATGAGAATTATGCTATATTTAACGACCATATTTATGGTCCATCATTTGGTTGCGCTGATCTTATTTTACGGGGGAATAGAGGACATTGTATAAAAGTTAGTTATGATGGAAAACAAATCAGAGGACCTTCTTCAGGTATGATTAATTAGTTTTGTAAATAACCAAAAATTTTTATATAATCTCCTTATAATTTTTATAGAATCTGTCTTACATTATGGTATAAGGTGTGACTGCTGTAATCATACAGTCCGTGGAATGAGATGGAAATGTACATCTTGTGAAGACTATGATTTATGTCAAATTTGTAAACCAAAATCACATATTCACCATCATCCAGATGATCATGTATTCGAACTTGTACCACATTCAAGAACTTCTCATCGTGCTCCTCGTACGTACTGTCATATCTTTTTGAATATAGCATTCTATAATACTAAAAATTTCTATAAATTATTTATAACCTCTTTTAATATCTCATAGAATTTGCTGTGCATCATGGTATTGTATGTAAGTGCTGCGACAAAACGATTCTTGGAATGAGATGGAAGTGTACATTTTGTAATAATTATGATTTATGTCAAGATTGTAAATCTAAATCATCAAATATTCATGATCATCCAAATAATCATGCTTTTCAACCTATCGCATATCCAGAATTTAAATTTGATATTGAAGGTATGTTATAATCTTTTTGAATTATAATAACATTCGATATTTCGATTATACAAGATAATGTTTTATTAATTCCATATTTCATTATCATTGCAATATGAAATTTTAGAGCCAATTCCCGCTATTTGTGACTATTGTGAAACTACCTGCTTTCTTGGAGAATGTCTTAAATGTGCCAATGGGGAATTTTCTGTAGAAGAATATGAAATATTTCAAGTTTTAAAAAGATAAATTATAATCTGAATTTGTTATATAAGCAAATATTAGACGAAATATTTCGATGCAATTTGGATTAGTTAATTATAAGATGTATGAAAACTACAAACTAATAGAGTTGACGTTGTAATATAAATTAAATAAAATAAAAAGTTTATTTATTTATTTATTTACTTTCTATTTACCATATTTACAAAATTGATATTACTTACACAAATTCAAATTTTTACATTAAATAGCTACTTTAAGAAAGTTATTAAAAAAATTAATTTTTGCATACAGCACATTAATACAAACAATATAAAATTTTTTTTTAAAAAAATAAAAAAAAATTAATTATTAAAGAATTATCCGATGTCCAAGATTTTTCAACAAATAATCGTCGCAAATAAAAAAAAAAAAAAATTGATTTTAAAAACTTAATATGTATTTCATGATTTATAGCATTTTTTCCTTTTTAATATTAATTAAGCATTAAAATTTTAGTATTATAAGAGTTATTATGACTTATAATATGGTAGACTGTTATAATTATTGATGATTTTATAGCAGTTATTTCTCAATATGACAATTTATCAGTATAAATTGCTCTTTTCACCTTTTTTTCTTTTTTTTTTTCTTCTTGTTTTTCTGAAAAATAAAATTTTATTCATTTTATTTCCCAAAAAAAAAAAATGTCAAAATTAAATAGTGATGTTCTTTATTATATTTTTCAAGATTTACATTACTTAATTACTGCTAATTCAAATAATGAAAGAAATTTTAAAAAATCTCTACATCATTGTTTATTTATTAACAAACATTGGTGTGAAATCATGATTCAAATTTTATGGAGTTATCCTTATAAATATGTTTATAACAAAAAATCATTATCAGATATTATTATTTCACATTTATCAGATAATTCAATTAAATTTTTGAAAGATGAAAATATCATTGAAGCAAATTTTCAAAAGCAAAAACTTTCATTTAACTATGTTAGATTTTGCAAATATCTTAATAATATAGATGACGTTATTCTAGATAGATATTTATTAAAGAAAGAAATTTATAAGCTTTTTATTAGTGAATGTTCATCAATTAAATGTTTGAGTTCAGATATGATGTCAGTTTCAATATGCAAATATCCAGGATCAAATATTTCTCTTTCAAATCTATATGAGTTAGATATAAGAAAATATTCATGTACGTTTTATCATGAATTGGCACAAATATGCAGGTCAATAGAAAAAATTCGCATAACTATTTATGAAGAAACTTCTGGAATTGCTGAATTAATTGAAATGCAAAAACAGATTAAATACATATTTATAGATGAATACTGCGAATGTAAGAAGATAAATCAAGCTTTAGAAAAACATGTAAATTCAATTGTTCATTTGCATTTAAAAACAAATGAATTCTTTCAACATGATTTTCTCCTTCCAAAATTAATTAATTTACAATGTTTAAGAATAAATGATACAAAACATCAAACAGGAGATCATAGAATATATTTAAATTATTATAACCTTCAAATACTTGATTTACTACACATATCACTTGATATAGCATTAGATATTATTCAAAATACAAATGGAAGTCTATGGAAAATTAAAATCAGACTTGCTAATTGTGATCGAGCAAAAGAATATAATCAGTCAATCTACAAATATTGTCCAAATATAAAATATGTTACAGTATTTTTAAACCGTAAGGGAACCCTAGAAGAACTGGAGAAAATTTTCATCAATTGCCAACACTTGGTAGCAATAGATATAGATGAGAAAATCAAAGATGAATATTATGATAAATTTCTGGATTTATTGATTAAATCGGCTCCATTCACTTTATACAAAATTCATATTGATGATATTAATTTATTTAGTACAGAATCTTTAAAATTATTTTTTACTAATTGGAGTAAATGTAAAACAAATTTACATTATTATGATCGTTTTAATAGCTGGCATAAATTTATTGAAATATGTGAAGGGACAGATGCTATTATTAAACTTGATTATTATGATGATGATTTTCGGAATCATGAAATTAAATGGTTACTTGAATTCTAATTAAAGTGAAGCTTGTTATAGTAAATTTTGTTTATCCAGTTCACTTACTAATAGATCTTATTCGTTATAGTAAATTTACTAATAAAATCAATTAAATTCATGTGATAAGATACCAACCAGACAAAATTAAAAGACAAAATAACAAATAATTATGAATAATAATGGATAATTAGGCAAATTCTTCAAATGGTTAAATAATCAAATCATATACTGCATGAAATTAGTTTAGCACTGGCTTACAAACCAAATAATTAGTCGCAAGTATAATGATCCATGACAACTTAGATATCAATATGAGACCCCTGGTCAACTACTAATAGTGCATTTGCCATATTTACATAATTAATATTTCTTTTTTTTTTTTGTTTAAATTCTAATTTTACATTAAATAGCTAATAATGTTACTTTAAGAAAAAAAAAAATGTTTTTTTTGTATACAATACATTAATGCAAACAATATAAATAAATTTTTTGAATAATAAAATAAAAAAATTAATTATTAAAGAATTTTGAAAATATGATGACAATTTTATTAGAAAACTTAATATATACACATTAAATAATTGACTAATTCTGACCAAATATTTTGAAATTTTGAATTATGATATTAGTTTTTAAGAGTAACAACGTTAAGGTCTCGCCGTCAAATGATTAATCGGAACTACGAATATATTGTTAAAATTATTGCGCAGTATTTTTTACCCTTCGATAATTTTAAACTTCGTGAAAATATTCTAAATAATTGTCGCTTTCATAAAATAGTTTGTAAATTTTATACATTATCAAAATTTAAATCTATTTGTATGATGATATTACCATACATAGTTTCGCAGCCTAAGAGTACATATATGTACGTGTTCCCGATACACTAATTTAATTGATTTTCGTTAAAAAATTTAGATTTTTATTACGATTGAATGACCCTTGCGTAAAGTTAGTTCGAAGAAGTTAGCCTGCCCGTAGTGATATTCAAGCTTCAATCCATTTTGAAATAGATTAATTAATTCAGCATTTTAAAATGAAATAATTTATAAATCAATCATAAATCGATATTTTTTGTTTCTAAACCCTTATATAGTAATTCCTTCTGTAAACTTATCAAAAATTCTTTAGAAGTTATTTCAATAAAAGGAATGCATTATTACAAAGTATTTTTTTTTAAAAAAAAATAAATATTTTGAAGTCTTCAAGTAAAAAGGTTGAAGGATTAAAGAGAAATCAAAACTTGAATTTCGCTTATTTATTATTATCTTTGAATAATTGAAATTAGACTTAATGATTATTTTGATAATTCTAACCAAAAAATTTTGATAACAGACATATTTATTAATTATTTATATAAAGTAAAAAATTATCCGTTTATATTTTAGATTACTTAATATTATTACGCAGAGTTTATTGCTAGTTTTTTCAAAAGTTACTTCGTTGCTCGTATGAAAATTACAAATATAATGTTTTAAAAATTGTGATAGTACAGTATATTAAAATTTTCTTGCCATAATAAATTAAATAAATTATTTCAAATCGGACAAATTCAATTTTATTGGCTGATTCTGGGATCCGCAACCAAATTTAATTGGGCTAGAATTAAATGTTATTCGATCAGAATAGTGTTAATCTTAAATGATTAATTCCGATCAGAAGTTATAAATTTTTAAAATTTACTCATTTTTTCATACATTCATACAAATTTATATTTGACTTTAAATATTGATTTCAAAATATTTAATAATAATAAGACATTTAATTTTATTGGTTTTTTATTTTTCAATTTAATTCAAAAAAAAAATTTCTCACCAGATATTTGATCACATAGCAAGTCTAAGTTATATTTTATCTTTTTACAACTTGAAATAATTCGTATTCTTTTATATAAAATGTGTTATTGGCACACTTATAACATATGTTACCCGTGCAGGCTAATTTACAATAGTCACAAATTGCATTTCTTGAATCTCCTAATATGATAAAACGTGAATTAATAAAATATTATTTTGTTTAATTGAACGCCACAATTCAAAAAAGATTTGATAACATACTACCAATAAGTTTAAAATATGAAATATTATGTGGATGAAAAAATTTTTTTGAATAGAATTTACAATCTTGACACATATTAAAATTCGGGCACAATTCACATTTCCATCTCATCTCGCGAATTGTCTTGTTGCAGTAATTACACTTTGTATCATGCACAGAAATTCCTATGAGGTATTAAAAGAGGTTATAAATGATTTTAGTATTATAGAATGCTATATTCAAAAAAAATATGATAGCACATACGAGGAGCATATTTAGAAGTATCTGAATGTGGCATAAGCATGAGCCTATGATCATTTGGATGACGATGTTTATGTGATTGGGGTTTACAGTCTTGACATAAATCATAGATTACACAGGTTGTACAATTCCATCTCTTTCCTCGGATAGTATGGTTACAACAGTCACACCCTACGCCATAATGCAAGACAGGTTCTACAAGAATTATAAGGAGATTGTATGAAAAAATTTTGGCAATTTAAATATAACAGATAACTAATTAATTTTACCTGAAGGAGGACCTCTGATTTGTTTTTCATAGCTATCTTTCATATAATGTCCAATATCGCCACGCAAAATAAGGTCAGCACCGCCAAATGATGGACCATAAGTATGGTCGTTAAATATAGCATAATCTTTTTTTACAACACGACTTAAAATATGATCATTAATATCATCACCATCCTCAAAAGAGAATATAAAGCTATCCTTAGTAACACCATAATCACTTTCAAATTTCCATTCAATTGGATTATATCCTCCAAGAATTTGGTTATTACCTTTAACTTTAATAATTGTTACAGTGCAAGATCGATCATCACATATCTTATGGAATTCATTAGATGCAAACCCATCCCGAGATCCACGAAAAATTAATTTGAATTCATATAAAGAATTTGGCTTATCTGTCACATCTAATTTATCAATCCATTTTGAAATTAATTCAGCATGTTGAACCGTAATAATTTTTGAATCAATATTTTTCAAGTTATCAGTTAGTTTGCTATCAGAATGATCAATACTTTTCAAGTTATCAGTTAGTTTGCTATCAGGATGATCAATACTTTTCAAGTTGTCAGTTAGTTTGCTATCAGGATGATCAATACTTTTCAAGTTATCAGTTAGTTTGCCATCAGGATGATCAATACTTTTCAAGTCGTCGGATGGTTTACTATCAGGATGATCAATACTTTTCAAGTTGTCAGTTAGTTTGCTATCAGGATGATCAATACTTTTCAAGTTATCAGTTAGTTTGCCATCAGGATGATCAATACTTTTCAAGTCGTCGGATGGTTTACTATCAGGATGTAAATTTAAAAATTTTTTCAATAAATCCTTGTAAAATTCCTTTGGTAAAATTTTCTTATAAGGTAATACTTCTTCAGAAAATTCTCTAGAACTTATATTACTAAATTTAATAAAAGGAATGAGTTGTTGTAAAGTATTCTTTAATACATTGAAATCTTCTTTTGAAAAGATTGCAGGATCAGTAGGAAGTTCAGGATTCTGCGCAAGTCCCCATTTAATCACATATTTCCAAACTTGAATTTCGCTCATTTGAAAATTATTATTTTGAACAATTGAAATTAAAAGTTTTTCCGGAATTGAAGAGAAATTCATTGATTTAAGAATCTTATCTGGTCCTTTTGAAATTAAGTCTACGCAATAATTTTGAAGTTCCAAGAAAGAATTATTTTCAAAACTTGTTTGATATACGAGATTAAAATTTTCTTCCATCCAATTTTCATTATTTTTAATTATATAAAGTTGTAAGTAACTGACTAATTCTTGAAGATTAAGCTCATTAGCGGAGATCAAGATTTTAATAATATCTGAAGTGTCACATTCCTTCAAAGAAAGTTTCCCTCCGTAAATATATCTAAAATAAAAACATTTTATATAAATTAAAAAAACGTATATATTTGTAAAAATAATAACCTTATTTATTGTATTACATACCTTAAAATTATTTGAAAAATTTCAGGTGAGATATTTGGTAATTTAATATGTACCAAAGTTTCATCATTTTTCTTTTTATTTGTTGACAAAATTCTTCGTAAATAATCAGAACGATAATTTAAGATGACCATGTGAGCACGGAATACTTTTACGTAAGGGTCATTACCAACTTCAATAGTAATATCATAATATTCATCATCATCATTATCCAAAATTTTGAGTAAATTTTGTGATAATTTTGGTAAAAAATTGTCCTCATCCATTATAATTGATTTTTTTCTTTTTCTTCTTTTTTTTTGAGAGGGGAAAAAAAGAAAAAAATTTCCTGTTTCTGCAGTTACACAGTGTGGAAATCTTATTTATTTATGTGATGATCCTCAATAAAATCATAATAATATCTTGATATCGGGCCTGATTTTATATATTTATCTAGTGATCTACATACTGTATATCTTTATATTGGAAAGTGTCTGTGCGTCAGGACGTCAGGACGTCAGGTGCGTTGATTAGCAATTCCAAATTCAGCCTTATATCAAATTACTGCGATTGCGTGCGGATTACGTTAGGTATTTTTTCATAATTTATTTTATTTGTTTTATTTTTTTTTTTTTTAAAAAAAAAAATAACAATTAAAAAGAAATTTTTTTTCGATATTAAAACTGAAATAAGGATAAGAATAATAATTAAAAAAAAAAAATTATTATTCGGTTTGAAACAAAAGAAAAAATAAGATTTAAAAAAAAAGAAAATAAAAAACTAATTAACCAAATTATTTTAACATATTCAACTATAAGGAATAGATCGGGCGCAAACACATGCATCATACGCTTCATGTTACATAATTCAAATTATTGTCCTAAAAAGGACTTCAATGGTATATCATGTTTCACATTACACAATTCAATTTATTTATATATAAGGTTAATCTAAATGTCAAATGGGCCCCCCGGAAAATCGTATATTCTAGTTATTTCAACAATAAGGACTAAAAGTAATAATTTCAAAAAAAAATTTCTTTTACGTTTTATATGTTATCAAAACTGTAAATTTGATCGATATGGTCGATACAATCTTATTCAGAACATTTTCAACCCAATCAAAATCATATAAATGTTTATAAAAATATAAATATGATTGATTTTTTTACAGTATATTAATTTTTTTTTTATCTCAACGATAAATCATATTTATATAATTTATATATAAATAAATTAAGAAAAAAATAAATTTAAAAATGTAATAAAGATAGAATCTAATCCATCAATTGTTGTATATTCTTCCAAATTGTATGTACTCGCAATGTTTTTTCCGAGATGTCTATCAAAAACGAGTAAGGAAATGAATTTCAGCTGATCATCATTTGTTCAGGTGATAATCTAAAAATAATTTTTGTTATAAATTTACGTTAGCGACCATTTTTTTTTTTAATAGTTTAATTCGTGATCCACGAGTCAACTGCAAAGGATCTGCAGAAAATGGGATCTGGCGTGGCGTCAAATAAAAGAAAAAAATTATGTGAGAAATTTATTTTAAAAATAAATTATTTGAAACTTTGGGATAAATATTATGTATTAAAATATGTCAGAGTCGAATGGGTTTACATGAAGAGCATTACTTAAGGAATGAAAACCGGGTATCAGAAAAAGATTACTAATGATCGACATAAATTTGCGCCAAAATCATATGAATTTTTTGCAGTTGGCTCACGGATCACGAATTAACTTAAATTCAAGTGTTTTAAGATTTTCTTCAAGGTGAGTGACTGTTCTAACGCCAATTAGGAGAGGTAATTTCAGGTTTTTGTTGAGCCCAATTTAAAGCAACATAATTTACAAATGAGGAAAATATATAAACCTGTAATTTTTATAAAAGATTGAATGTAGGAGTTCTATAAAATTTTCCAATTTTTTTCGATTTTTGAATGTTTTGCAACTGATAAACCGCGACTCCGCGAGATTCTGGTTTTAAAGCAGCAGCTGATTCTCTCGTATATTTTCCGATAAGAAAACTATTATAAAACAATTAATTAATATAATGTTATATATTTTAAAAACATAAAAAAAAATGATTTATTACCCTTCGGCAACGATACTCTTTCGAGAATATGAGACTATTCTTAATAGTGATAAAATTCCAAAAATTTCGTTACCACGTTTGTTTCACTTCATTAATTATTTAAGTATGAGATTGATTTTCGTAAAATTTCATTGAATTTTTTTTAGTAATTTAAAGTATTGAAATAAATCAAATGATTCCCCCTATAAAAAAGAGATTATAAAAATATTTTGAATTTATAATATCTTTTTTTTTATACATATAGTTCTTTCGAGATAATTTCATATTAACTGTTGAAATGATTAAAAATATTAATACTTAAAAAAAAAATTTAGTAATCTTCAAAATTCCGGAAAATAATTGAATATAAGAATGAATACCGACAAAATATTACGCTTTTTTTATTCCCTCAAAATCCACAAAATCAGAGATGAGAGGTGGGAAACGCCTCTCTAGTTTTTACTTAAAATCATACAATTATGTTGATAAATAAAAATTTTGCCATAAGTTGAAAGGTTCGGGCTGGTTCTGTATAGATTTTTTAAAATGATCAAATTATGACCATCCCTACTTAAAATTCTTAAGAAATTTCCATTTTAAACATATTACTATTACTAAGTTACTCTCCAATTGAATTAAAATTTTGTTCAAACTTTTTATTATTTTTAATCAATTAAGGTTGTAAGTAGGCGATTAATTCTTGATGTAAATTAACTGGCGATAATCAAGATCCAAAGCATCATATTCTTCTTTTCGTATGCAAGTTACAAACATAATGTTTCATATCATAGTAGTGTATTTAAATTTTGTCACCAGATAAATTAGATAAATTATTGGTGAAACGCATTAAAATACAAAATAATATAGTATCGAAAATTTGAGTAAAATATTTATTAATAAAGTACACGTAATAATTTGAAGAGTTTCGGAGCATTTCGAACGTAATAATTTGAAACAATTACGATATCATAATTCCACGGAGCACTTCGAACGTAATGCTTCGGAACAATTACGATTATAGCTCTAATTCGGTTTCGGTCGGCGCTTGGTCACAAATTGGGCAAATTCAATTTTATTAGTGATTCTGGGTCCGTAACCAAATTTAATTGGGCTATAATTAAATATTTGGTCAGAATAGTGTTAATATTTTAAAATGAATAATATTCCGACCAGAATTATAAGTTTTTAATTTTACTCATTTTTTCATACATTCTTACAAATCTATATTTGACTTTAAATATTGATTTCAAAATATTTAATAATAATAATAAGAGACATTTAACTTTATTAACTTATTTTTTTTTTATTATTTTTCAATTCAAGTTAAAGGGAATTTTCTCACCCGAAATCTAAACTATATTTTATCTTTTTATAACTTGAAATAATTCGTATTCTTCTACAGAAAATTCACCATTGGCACATGTATGACATTTTGCAAAGAAGCAGATTAATTCACAATAGTCACAAAAAGTAGGATGCAAGTAATCCGACCCTAATTCATTATGATGACGAAATTAATAAAATATTATTTTATATAATAGGATAAAAATAATTCAAAAGATTTGGTAGTACATACCAGAATTATAATTGTCAATGCTTGGATATACAAAAGGTTGAAACATATGATTATTTGGATGATCATGAATATTGGACTTACAATCCTGACACAAATCATAATTTTGACAAAATGTACACTTCCATCTCATTCCATGGATAGTTTTGTTACAGTTATCACACACTATACATGATGCACAGCAAATTCTATAAGATAACATAAAGAAGTTATTAATAATTTAAAAGTTTTAGTATTAGAGAACGCTATGATTAAAAAAGACTTGATAATACGTACGAGGAGCACGAGAGGAAGTGCTTGAATGTGGTTCAGGCTGGAACGCATGATCATCCGGATGACAATGAATTTCTGATTTGGGCTTACAATCTTGACATAAATCATAATCATCACAGGATGTACATCTCCATCTTATTCCACGGATAGTATAGTTACAGCAATCACATTTGACACCATAATGCAAGTAAGGTTCTGTAAGAATTATAAAGAGATTATAATTTATTATAAAAAATTTTGGCTAAAGGTAACTAATTAATTTTACCTGAAGGAGCACTTCTGATTGGCATTTCATAACTATCTTTTACACAGTGTCCACTATCGCCCCGCAAAATAAGGTCAGCCCCACCAAATGACGGTCCATAAGTATGGTCGTTAAAAATAGCATAATTTCTTTTTACAATACGACTTAAGATGTGTTCGTTGATATCATCACCATTCTTAAAAGAGAATATAAAACTATCCTTAGTAGCATCATAATTACGATCAGATTTCCATTCAATTGGATTATATCCTCCAAGAATTTGGTTATTACCTTTTACTTTAATAATTGTTACAGTGCAAGATCGATTATCACAAATCTCATGAAATTTATTAGATTCAAACCCATCACGAGTTCCACGAAGAATTAATTTGAATTCATGTAAAGAAGTTGATTTATCTGTAATATCTAACTTATCAATCCATTTTGAAATTAACTCAATATGTTGAAATGTAATAATTTCTGAATCAATATTTTTTAAGTTATCAGTTAGTTTACTATCAGGATGTAAATTTAAAATTTTTTTCAATAAATCCTTGTATAATTCCTTTGGTAAAATTTTCTTATAAGGTAATACTTCTTCAGAAAATTCTCTAAAACTTATATTACTAAATTTAATAAAAGGAATGAGTTGTTGTAAAGTATTCTTTAATACATTGAAATCTTCTTTTGAAAAGGTTGCAGGATCAGTAGGAAGTTCAGGATTCTGCGCAAGTCCCCATTTAATCAGATATTTCCAAACTTGAATTTCGCTCATTTGAAGATTATTATTTTGAACAATTGAAATTGAAAGTTTTTCCGGAATTGAAGAGAAATTCATTGATTTAAGAATCTTATCTGGTCCTTTTGAAATTAAGTCAGTGCAATAATTTTGAAGTTCCAAGAAAGAATCATTTTCGAAACTTGTTTGATATACAAGATTAAAATTTTGTTCCATCCAATTTTTATTATTTTTAATTATATAAAGTTGTAAATAACTGACTAATTCTTGAAGATTAAGCTCATTAGCGGCAATCAAAATTTTAATAATATCTGGAGTGTCACATTCCTTCAAAGAAAGTCTTCCTCCGTAAATATATCTGAATAAAAAACATTTTTAAATAAATTTAAAAAAATCGTATATATTTATAAAATAATAACCTTATTTAATGTATTACATACCTTAGAATTATTTGGAAAATTTCAGGTAAGATATTTGGTAATTTAATATGTACCAAAATTTCATCATTTTTCTTTTTATTTGTTGACAAAATTCTTCGTAAATAATTAGAACGATAGTTCAGAATGACCATGTGAGCACGGAATACTTTTACGTAAGGGTCATTACCAACTTCGATAGTAATATCATAATATTCATCATCATCCAAAATTTTAAGTAAATTTTGTGATAATTTTGGTAAAAATTTATCATCATCCATTATAATTAATTTTTTTTAAAAAAAAGAAAAAGTTCCAAGAAATTCTATTTCCGCAGATCTGCCGCTGTTACACTAGTGTGGGAAGTGGGAACGAATTTTTTAGTCGTAAAAAAAGTTTGAAATGGAACCTTATTTATTTAAGATTTTATGATGATCCATCCATAATCAGCAGAAGCAATGAGACTTTATATTACTGCGGATTTACGTGCCTTAGAACGAGAACGATTTCTGGTCGGTTACTGAAAATAATCAAAGAACGGAACGCGATAATTTCGATCAAAAAATATACAAATGGTGGATTTATTAAAAATTGCACTGACATGACTTGAAATAGTCAATGATTTTAGCACTTCTATAGGTAATTTCAGCCAGAATTTATTGTTCTTTAGATACTGACTGGCATTATCGTAATTCCGGCCCCGAAATTATACGTACGGTAATAGATAGTTTTCAATAGAAAGATTTACGTATTACGTAAATATATGATTCTCGAGTTTGAAAAAAAAAATATTTTAATATTATACAGACATTAAAAAATTTTTAATATACGAAATAGGCATTTCATCAATTTTAAAGAAAATTGATAAAGATTAGACTTAATACTGTTAAATTATTATTTTTGCAGCACCTAAAATAGGATGACAAAAATTGATGTTAATTTTGAAAGGTGAGACGAATAGTTGTGTGGACATTTGGCGGCGGTGTGTAACATAATGTATGTGAAGCGTACTCAGGTGATGAATAGTATCTCGGCCCACTCTGAATCACGTGTTTGACCCGTCGTGTTATTTATCACTTGAATAAACTGTCACATAGGGGACCGTACTCCACTCATCATCCCCACCGGACTCCACAACTTTCCGTATCACTCAATTTTGAATTAAGGCGACATAATCAAGTCATAATAAAAAGAACGTTATTTTACTCATATCAAATATGGTGATATGAAGATGTATTTTTCTATTTGAATTTTTTTTCACTTCAAAGACAAAGCCAATGAAATTGAAAGAGAATTTGGTATTAACATTTATGTGACATCTTTTTTAAGAACATATTGATGAGAGAGGCTACAATAAAAAATTTTATTTTCTTTTGTTTGGATAAATTAAGAATACGGGATTTTATAAGTGTTATTAATCATTGGAAAAAAACTTCGCAATATATAAAAATATTACAATATGTCTGCTTTTAAATTCTAATTGTAAATTTCGTTGTGTATTACGTTCAGGATTATTCATGAATGATAATTGCTCGCTTAAATACTACAAGTATTCATATTTATTTATTTGTATTTCGATTCTAAAAGAATTCGAATGGATGATAAGAAAAATGCGATAAAGCTACTGATTTTAGTATAAATTTTATTACCAATATATATATATGATGTATAATAATTAATAATTAAAAGTTTCCTTGATCAATTAATACACTCGTTTGAACTTTCAGTACTAGATTATAATAAAAAGAAAATGATACATAATAAAATTAAATGAAATTAATGTTAGGTTCTTCAAAGATAATTTAACCAATAAGTTAACGCGTGTATTAAAGGTGGAAATGTGAATAAATTGTTTTTGGCTCCTTTTTATATTTCAGATTGGCAACGCAATTGCATCAATGAAAGAGCGATAATTTCAATCAAATCGTGTTGTTTGCATCACATGCATTTTTTTTAGCGTAGATTTCGGATAAACTCTAGCTTAATAAATATAATATTTATTCATACACCATGCAGGTGTTTTTTATTGCCGAAGAGAATATAACTAAAGATCGAGAACATTACATTACGACTAAATAAAAATACTAATTAATAATCATCAAGCGAATAAACTTAACTTGGACTCGAACAAAATATTTAGCCATCGGGTATTTTTTTTACGTTAACGGATAAATATTAATATTTTTCGTATACTTTTAATTCAAATTTTGAATAATTTATCGTATGTTTAATTACAAATTCCCGAATATTATATAAAATGCTCACATACTTGACATAAAAGTTAAGTCGCACATATTAATTGCATAATTGTATACGTGATACAGTACATTCAGTTTATACGAAGACAATTATGTATTAGTTTTTTTCCTTTATTGGCAATAAACATATTTGTACTCCTAAAATCATAGTGTATTTTTAAAATAACGATAATAAAATATAATAAACGGGTAGTCGGGCAGTGATAAATTCTCTCTTTACCTAACAATAGAATCGTTCTTAAAATAAAATAACATTTTTGAGTTTTTCGAGTTTTTTAATTTGTAAATTATAATATATCGGAGTTTTTTTCAGAATTTTTTTTATAGGGTAATAGGGGTAATAGAGTGTTTGAACATGATCAAAATAAAACGCCACCATAACGCCCATCTGCATTTCAATACAGTTATAATGTTATAATAAAAATGACTTAACATAATAAAATGGCATTATTTTCGTGACCTTTTTGCTACTTGAAATTTAACATCCTTACTACGCCGCTTCTTCTTATTTGAAACTGTCTTATAACACTCATCACAATAGTGGTAATATATTTCATACACGCTAACTCTTTCAGATTCATAGAATTCAACTGGTACTTTTCCACACTAAAAGCAAATGTCTTCAAATAAACCACTTGAATAATAGGAACTTCTAGTTTTAGAACGAAGCAATTATTATCGGCATATAAGATTTTATTTTTTAAAAAAAAAGTGGCAGAAGATAGATTTTACAATCTTATCTTTATTTGTAATACTACAAAATACATATAAAAAAATTTACATATGAAAAAAAAAACCCCGGGTGACCGTGTAAATTTTAAAATTTTATGTCACAAGAATCTAAAAATTAATTTTGCCTGGCCTAATACTAAATATTATTAATGTCATACTCGTATTTATACTTGCCACCCATATTAAATGGGATGGGAGAATCCCCTATCCCATCCCATCCCATATCCCATCCCTTTTGCCAAAATCCCCTCCCATTTGCCAAAATCCCATCCCAATCCCAAATCCCAATCCCACCCATATCCCATATCCCTTATCCCATCCCTTATCCCAAATAATCTCATTGGTCAATTATCACGTGACGTTACACAAATTTCCAAAAAAGGAAATTTTTCTTCCCGCAAAAATTGTGTGTTTTTGGTTTCACAAGTATTCCAAAAAAGGAAATTTTTACGCCGATCATATAATTCTGGCCAGCATTGCATCCATTACCAGCAGGGATGGGCGTTAATTAACCATGGTTAATTAACCGTTAATTATGTTACTTATAATTAGTTTAAAATGGTTAATTAACCTTTACTTTAAATCAACCAATAAAAATGCAGAATTTAAGTCATGTGATTTTAATTATAATTTGATAATTATTTGTAAAAAATGGTATAGTCTGTTATAGTGATAATAGTACTATACTTGAATTTGAATCAAATGTAATAAGTTTAGATGATGAAGAATAAATAAAATATATAAGATTTATTATAATCATTTTAATAAATAAATAAATTTCATTGTTTTATTTTATTATTTATAAAAAATTAATATTTTAGTTAACTATATGTTAATTAACCGTTAATTAACCGTTAATTAACCAGTTAATTAACCAAATTTATAATTAACCGTTACTTTCCCATCCCTAATTACCAGAATATGAGCAAAATTAAGATCCTGAACAGATTTACGAAGTTTATATTTTAACTCCGGCAGGAATTACAAATTATAAAGGTTTAAATCCTTATCCTACAAACCCAATTTTTAAGAGATTTACTGATCAGATTTTAATGAAATTTATATCTTTGGATTCGTCTTGATGCAAGGAATTAAATGGTAGTGAAATCATATTTCTAAAATTAATATTGACTGATTTATTATAAAAAATGTATTTTTATACTATATATTATTTGAAAGTAACATGTTAGCAGTTAGTATTCAGTAATATATCTGTCTCTTATACACATCTAGATGTGTATAAGAGACAGATGTTACACAAGTATTTGGGATTTGGGATGGGATTTGGGATTTGGGATGGGATGGGATTTGGGATTGGGATTTGGGATGGGATGGGATATGGGATGGGAGGGGAGGGGATGGGAGGGGATGGGAGGGGATTTTAAATGGGCGGCAAGTATACTCGTATTCTTTCGAGATATAATCTAAAAAAAAATATGTTTTTATTCATTATTAAATCATTCATATTTTTAAAAGATAGTACAGTAGCGACATTTATAATACGCACCTTGTGAACCTATCAAAGATGAATTAATAAATGGAATAAAGGAGTTCAATGATCTACTTATATAAAACGCTTTTGAATGAGGTTTCTCGGTAAATTCAGGACCGAGCTTCTTTAATTCTATTGATTTTAATCTTTTTACTTCAGCTTGATTAAAATTTTCATAATCTCCTTGTAAAAATGCCCACGCATAAGTAACTTCAAGAATTTCTTTTGCAGAAGGTCTTTTTAAAGGATCAGAATTCCAACATTTTTTCATTAAATTAGCATAACAAACAGGAGTATCATCTGTGATGTTGGGGGTTTTTCCATCAATAATTTTATAGATAAGTTCCGTATTATGTTCAATATTATCAAAAGGTTTGCAACCCGTCGTAAGTTCCCACATAATCATACCCATACTATATATATCAGAATTCTTTGAAAATGTAACGCCTTGGAATATTTCTGGTGCGATGTAAGGTATTACTCCGTATATTTCATTATTTAATGAAGTACTATTTGCAGGTTGTGATAATCCTAAATCGCCGATTTTCCACTTACTAGATGATTCAGTTTCTAACAACATATTTCCGCTGTGTAAGTCACGATGTATAAAATTTACCTCATGAATAGTATGAAGCCTGAAAATAAAATAAATTAATGTATATTTTAAATATAAAAGAAAATGATAATTACCATATTTAAAAGATGTATATTTACCCTGCCGAAATTTGCCACAAGATATAAAGCTTTTTATTCCAAATGATATCTTTAAAATTTTTTTGTAAATAATCATGTAAATTACCACCTGACGCATATTTCATTATTAACATATAATCTTTAGTTTCAGGTTCTCTCGTAATACCATGATAATTAATTATATGATCAAATTTGTTATAACATTGATAAAGTGACTTTATCTAAAGAAATGTATAGTTAGATTAATAAAAAACTGTAATATTTATATCAAAGTAAATGAATAAGTAATAACTTCATTTACCTCATTTAAAAAATATTTGTCCATATTTTGTGAGTTTAAAAACCTTTTTATAGCCACGGGTTTATTTTTTTCTCTAATGCTTAAAAAATCATCATATTGTGAACTAGCATCTAACCAAGTTGCTTTATAAATAATACCAAACCCTCCCTCAGCTATTTTTTTACAATTTGTAATTTGAGAATATGGTATCCATTCCATTATTGGTTTTGATAAAGCATTCTTAAGTTCATGTTTGATGTCATTATACTTATCCAACGGATTACTACAATTTTCATAATCTTTGCGAATATCACTTATACAATTAATAATTTGATCGTTATTATTAATATTTAATCTTGTAGAAACAAGAAATTCTTCTATATTTAAGTTTCCACTATTAATACTTGAAGTATCAATAGCTATGTATGTTGTTCTTTTACATTTCTTACATTGAGATTGATTTGTAATCCCGAAAATAATATTTGTTGTTAAACAATAACTGCATCCTGTGTAAATTATATAACAATGTAAACACCATTTTTGGCATTCGGGTTTAAATTCCAACACTTTATCGCACACGACGCATAGATCAGAAGCGTCCCACCATGGTAAATAAAGAATTGGAATAGGTACTTTAGTCAATGCTGATTCTATCCATCCAGAAGATATTAAATAACAAAAAGAGCATAACGTAAGTTTGATATTATATTTCGAACTTATCATCAATTTTTCGCATAAGTTGCAGTATTTTTCACACTCGATAATCTCACTATTAAAAGTGTCGTAGCGTATTAAAGAACATGTTGATGGAATTATTTGTTTAAAATACCATTTTTGTAAACTTGGCGTACCAAATTCTATATTTTTAATCGATTCATTTTCATATTTAATATTTGTACTTATTTGTATATCTAGGCACTTACTAGGATTATTATCAATAAACTTTTTTATACAATGTTCGCAATATTTTTGTTTGAAAAAAGGCGTTTCGGAATATTCAACGTTACAATTACTACATTTATTCTCATTATTAAAAGAAATAAAACAAATAGGTACGTGACTAGGTTTTAAATTTGGCGTAGGATCAAAAAACAGTTTATCACTGTCTGTATATTTCATCATTTTTTTTAAAAAAAAAACGAAAACGATTTTATAGTATTCAAGTCTTGATATACTAGTATGGTATATATATATAAAAAAAAATTTTTTTTAGATCGGAAAATGTAAATTTATTCCATATGGCGTTATGCGGAGTAAATATTAACCCGCGATTTCATTTAAGAAATCGTCAAAAAAAAGCACTGGTTGGCCGGAATTATGCGTGAACAGTGCGGTGGCAAATAATGTGTGTCGAATAAGTTTTACTCGTCCCTCAGATAAATATAATCAATGAAAACACTGAGGGATATGACGGATGTGACGGATGTGATGTTTTGTCAAATGATTTTTCGATGCATTAAATATTACTTAATGATGAATCTCAATTTTAATTTTTTTTTTGTTTAAAATCAATTTAACCTTATAAAAAAATTCGGCCTATATTCGGCCAAAATTAAAATTATTCGACCTAAATCAGTAATGATCTACTATTCGGTCTTGGCAAAATTTTTGCCGATTGGTCATACGTTTTTGAACAATGGCAAATCAGTAAACTATATTTTTTAGACTATTTCATCCCTTCCCGGTAATGATCCTTAATTTGCGTCAACTTTATACACACGATTTACTTGGACATATCGCAACGATGTGAAACCATATCTTGACCAAGTCTTTATTATAAGATCCACGATAACATTTCGACTTGGTCACGAGATGAAATTAAGTCTAAACGTCACATGTTTAATGAATTAAAATTTGTAACCTTATATATAAATCTATTCCGTGTTTTTATATTCCATGTTAATAGAAATTACGGATAAAATTTTTTATAAAATCGGAAGCCTGAACCTTGTTATCTAGATTAGTGGAATCGATAATCGAATCAAAATCGAATCTCATTTGTTGAAGAGAAAATATTGAAATTAAGCAAAAAAATTAATTTAGCATTACATCTAAAATTTAAGTGCATGATTTAAAATATTTTTAAAAAAATCTATAAAGATTCGATAATCGATTCCCATCCCTAATCCAGATTAAACCTTGGAACATTTTCATAGTGAAATAAATATGTCATTTTTAAATTTTAACTGGTAAAAAAAATAACTAGTTGATGCAAAACAATGAAAATTTTTCTATTGCAATATTAATTATAATTTACGTGATTTTCTGATTGCATTTTCTTTTAATTTATATTTGGTCTTAAAAGGTTCATTGTTACAGAATATAAGAGAATAAATCAAAATCTGCACTTTATGAATAAAGTAATAAATTTTTTTTCCATTTTTGTCAGTCTATAAAAAATTAAACAAGTATCTGCAATAAGATGTTGTGCGTCAGCTGTCGGTTGACAGCTGAAGTGGGGCTGGCCTAGAATGCCGGTCAGAACACTTAAGGCGTTATAATATTGGGCAACGAAACGAACGGTATCTGACACACAACATAAATAAGGCGCATGCGCAGCTCTGAAGATAAATTATTTTAAATTGCCTGAATTATTTATTTACATATAATTTTACGTAATAATAGTCTTATCATTCGATTGAAGGATAGAAAATGATTTGAGGAACCTGTATTTATGTTATATTGTTGATTCCATCTACAAATATAAATAAAGCAGACATAAAATAATCCCTACAAAAAATTTTATCAGTTATTTCTGTAAAAACTCCGTAAATGAGCCTTTCACGGATCCATTCACGGAAAATGTAAATAATTCGATAAATTCCGTGATACAAGGTTATTAATTCTGGAAATATGAGCCTTTTACGGAAAAAAGACGAAATATAAAAAACAGATTGACTTTTTTTACAGGGAATAATATATTATTTATTATTGTTTAACAAAATGTATGTATGTGGAAAAATTATGTTGTTTTTTTTTTAAAAAAGAATTCGAAATAGTTTATACGGATTAAGTTTTAGTTTGTAAAAAATATTTATTTATAAAATGAGAAAGAAAAAAGAAAACCGTTGCATATTTGATCATGCATGACAACTGTTCGATAATCAGTCCAAAAATGTTGTACAATTTCTGCCGTAGGTACCAATGCTATTATTGGTTGAAATTTCGTGGATTATTTTTATTTTTCAAAGGAATTCTATCAAAGAATTTTAGAATTCTATCAAATGCTTGCTTACGTGATCATGAATACGATTTGTTTTTATGTTGATCACTTGATGATCGGAATGTCGATCATCAAGTGATTTTGGCCAAAGTGATCGACATTCTGATCCCACATGCTTATAATTCATAGAAAAAGCACAGAGAAATTTTGAAGTTCACGGCAGTTCAGAAAAAATTTGAAAAGTTCGGTCATAAAATTATGGTTTCCAAACGTTTCACCAAATTATTTTGTATTACGTTGTAAGAATTATTGTAAAAGGAAAAATCTACATGACGTAAACTTAAACTTGACTTTACGTATTAGTAAATACAATGAAACATTTACGTAAAATATTAATTGTTTATTGATTTGATTTTTTTCTTAAAAAAAAAAAAGGATTTTCTTTCGTTTTTAGAAAACTTTCTAGCATATCTTGTGACGAAATTCAACGATAAGAAACTTTTTTCGAAGAAAAATAGAAAATTCTATATATTCATTCTTTCAGATGCTCCTTATAGTAATAATTAATCTAGCACTAGTTTGAAATTTTTCTGAAAAGAATTATGATGCGGCATAATCTGATGAAAATGACATCCACTGTAGGACAGTTCACAATGTGACTTGCATTAATAACTTCTTTTGTGTCGCTAAAACAATTATGTTAAATTATTGCAAATTTGTCTTTTCGGGTTCCTCTTTATTCATAAATTCATTAATTACGAAATTCTTTTATGAGAATACATTGTAAAAAAAATCATCGCCTATAAAGATAAAAACATAATCCTAATAAACATCTTTAATTTCAATTAGCAAAACTAAGTGTTAGTCGTCAGGATAATTTTCTCAGACGTTCATTTAATAATAAATCAATATAAAATTTGTTAAATAGTATGCTTACAAGAAGATACGTGTTAAATTCACGAGGATATATGAAAACAATGATGATCATGCGGAATAAATTATTGTAAATATTCAATTTTCACGTGTTAATAAAATGTACTAAAAAGGAAAATTATATGGAAGCATCTTCTTTTCGTTGATTTTTTAATTTTTATTAATAGCTGTACGCATGGAATTTTTAATAGTTAGAAAAATAGGGCTGACTTTTATTATCATATGGTTCTGTGCTTTATAATTTTAATAATACCTTTTTTGATTGATCGATTAAACGATTTTGGGGTTTTTAAAAAATTAACCTAACATGTACAGTATATCCAGATCAACTGATTTCTTGAAGAATAGTTTCTCACATGACATGATTTTTTAGGTTATCAGTTAGTTTACTATCAGGGTGTAAATTTAAAAAAATTTTCAATAAATCCTTGTATAATTCCTTTGGTAAAATTTTCTTATAAGGTAATACTACTTCAGAAAATTCTCTAGAAGTTATATTACTAAATTTAATAAAATGAATGAGTTGTCGTAAAGTATTCTTTAATACATTGAAATTTTCTTTTGAAAAGGTTGCAGGATTAGAAGGAAGTTCAAGATTCTGAGCAAGTCCCCATTTAATCACATATTTCCAAACTTGAATTTCGCTCATTTGAAGGTTATTATTTTGAACAATTGAAATTAAAAGTTTTTCCGGAATTGAATTGATTTAAGAATCTTATCTGGTCCCTTTGAAATTAAGTCAGTGCAATAATTTTGAAAGAATCATTTTCAAAACTTGTTTGATATACGAGATTAAAATTTTATTCCATCCAATTTTTATTATTTTTAATTATATAAAGTTGTAAATAACTGACTAATTCTTGAAGATTAGCTCATTACGGCAATCAAGATTTTAATAATATCTGAAGTGTCACATTCTTTATATTATAAAATAATAACCTTATTTAATGTATTACATACCTTAAAATTATTTGAAAAATTTCAGGTAAGATATTTGGTAATTTAATATGTACCAAAATTTCATCATTTTTCTTTTATTTGTTGACAAAATTCTTCGTAAATAATTAGAACGGTAGTTTAGAATGACCATGTGAGCACGGAATACTTTTACGTAAGGGTCATTGCCAACTTCGATAGTAATATAATAATATTCATCATCATCCAAAATTTTGAGTAAATTTTGTGATAATTTTGATAAAAAATTTATCATCATCCATTATAATTAATTTTTTTTTTAAAAAAAAAAAAATAAAGAAATTCTATTTCTGCAGATCTGCCGCTGTGGGAACGAATTTTTTAGTCGTAAAAAAGTTTGAAATGGAACCTTATTTATTTAGGATTTTATGATGATCCATCCATAATCAGCAGAAGCAATGAGACTTTATATTACTGCGGATTTACGTGCCTTAGAATGAGAACGATTCGGGTCGGTTACTGAAAGTAATCAAAGAACTGAACGCGATATAATTAATTTTTAACCAAAAAATATACAAATGGCGGATCTATCAAATATTTAGTTTACGAAAGTAGGCATTCAACAGTTTTAATAATTGCACTGACGTGACTGGAAAGAGGACAGATAAAATATTAACGTTGTTATTTTATTTTCTTTGGTAGCCAGACTTAAACTAGAAGCAGTTCCTTCTATAGATAATGTCAGCCATAATTTATATGCTGACTGGCATTATTGTAATTCCGGCCCTGAAAATATACGTATGGGTCGTATGGTTAATATGTTAAATTTTCAATATCACTGAATTAAGGCGATCATTAGTATAAATTAACTCTTAATAAAAAAGTACTTTATTTTACTCATGTAAAATATGGTGATACCCAATCATTAAAATTGATTTTGTTTATTAAATTTCTATTTGAATTTTTTTTTCACTCCAAAAACAAAGTCAAGGAGAATTTGGTATTAACATTTATATTACATCTTTTTTAAGAACACATTGATGAGAGAAACTATAATAAAAAAATTTATTTTGCTTATTTTTGGACAAATTAAAAACACGGAATTTTACGTAATTAAATTTCGTCATGTATTACTTTCAAATTATTCATGAATGATAATTGTTTGCTTATACACCACAAGTATTTCACATTTGTTTATGCATATTTAATTCCTCCTAAAGAATTCGAATGGACGATGAGAAAAAATGCGATAAAGCTACTGATTTCAAAATCAAGCAAAAAAATAAAAATAAAGTAAAATTGAAGGAAATATAGAATATTCCATATAGAATATTCCTTTATTCTGAATTATTCATATATACTTTATAAAAATATTATCCATAATTTCTGTAAAAACTCCGTGAATATGATACATTTATGGAAATAACACGGAATAAAAAACATGGAACAAATTTTTTTATAAGGATGACGAATGACGATTTAAAATTTAAATTATTTATTGTGGCTGTATCATTAAAGGTTATTCGGTGAATTCTTATTTAGAAAGATTGATGTAAAAATATCAATCAGCTTAAAATAGAGTCTAGATCCGTTAATCCGGATACCAGATTTGAGTTTATCCGTTCAATCAATCTGAATAAACGGAGAATTTTCCGGATTTATCCGGATATCTGCAGAATGTCGAATCTATTTAAATATATGATTTTTAATTAATAATAAGAACAAAAAACACTTATATAAATCAGGTATGACATACCCACATATACCTCTGGTGATACAAAAGTGAACTTAGTATAAATTTTATTACCAAGAAAAAACTCTTCGATCAATTAATACACTCGTTTGAAAAAGAAATATAATACAAATAAAAAAAAATGAAATTAATGTTACTCCTTCCTCGGTTCTTCAAGAATGTCAATGAGAACGTAACCGTCGTAACCTTTTATTATCAGATGATTAAGCTCATGTGATGATTAACATGAAAACATTTTAGTAAGATAATGGATTTGTTTTTTTTCATAAAAAAATTAATTTTCGTTTTTTTTTTTAAGTGAAAAACAGCTGATTTTTTTTTAATCAAAAAAAAATTAGACGCGTTTTTTATATTAAAAAAAATACATTACATTTAATAAAAACCTTTTTATCTATAAAAAAAAAAAAAATGCTAATTGCATTTTTATATTAAAAAGATGCGTTTTGTTAACTATAATAATAAAATAACAACTTACAGTTTTTTAATATCAGTTGTCAGTTTTTTTAATATAGAGAACCAATTTTTATTTTTTTATTAAAAAATTTGCCGGGTTGTCTAATAGCCAAAATTAACGCCGATCCTAAAAAACGTCATTTATTACTTTAAACATTTCTTTATATCTTTTTTTTTTTTGATAATTTTTATAAAGAAAAACTTAGATTGGTGAATAGTTTAACCAATAAGTCAACGTGTGTATTAAAGGTGGAAATGTGGATAAATTGTTTTTTGGCCCATTTTTGTATTTCAGATTGGCAACGCAATTGCATCAATGAAAGAGCGATAATTTCAATCAAATCGTGTGGTTTGCATCACATGCATTTTTTTTTTTTAGCGTAGATATCGGATAAACTCTAGCTTAATAATATTTATTCATACACCATGCAGATGTCTTTTATCGCAGAAGATAATATAACTAATGATCGAGAACATTACATTACGACTAAATAAAAATACTAATTAATAATCATAATCGTCAAGACTTGAACAAAATATTTAGCCATCAGGTATTAGTGTGATTTTTTTTTATATTAACAGATGAATATTTTTTGTGTACTTTATTTGAGATATTTCAGATTTTAAATAATGTTTTTCCCGAGAATTTAGTTTTATTAGATCAATAAATAAATGTTCCTTTATAGTTCTTTATTTATTTATTTATTTTACAATTTGAAATAATTCGTATTCTTCTAAAACAAACTTGCAAATTCTAAAGTTCTACCACATTATCTTCATTTAGAATATTTGATTTGGAATCACGGCGATCATATATTATACCCATGAACGCAATAAAAGAAACTCGTTAATTATAACTGTGAAGTTCCTCTAATTTATTTCATATCTATAATCTATACAGTGATTACTGCTAAGTACTGTTAACAAATACATGCATAAAGATTACATAATGTTACATACAGTACATTAGGTACAAAGGCGATTATGCATTTTTTTTTTCTTGGCAAAATTACATTAAAATATTAATAAAATTTAATAAAATTTAATAAAACAAGCAAGTACCGAATTAAATTAACGTCCTTACCTAACAATAGAACCAACCGTTCTTAATAAATTAAAATTATGATTTTTGAGTTCTTTTAATTTGTAAAATATAATATAACCATTAAAAAACTTAGAAAAATTTTTAGTTGCATTTAAATACTAGGAACCTTAACAAGATGTCATATAATGTTTGGTGATTGATAACGGAATGTGGCGTTAATATTTATGAGAGTATCCAGAAAGGAAAACGCCGATAGAATATTTTACTTAAATAACGCCCAACTGCATTATAAACATAGCACAGTCCGGTTTGGTCCGATTGACATATTTGGATACTAATTATTTTAATTCATGATTCGTCGACCATATAAAAAACCACTTCAATTAAGATGCGTTGGTTATGATATATTTACGAAAAGGAGGTACTCATTTTATGTCACTGAATGAATTTATGAATTTATGTCAAAATCGTATTCTTTCGTGATATATACTAAAAATAATGGTCCATTTATTATTGATTTTAAATGATGTACGATAGTAATATACATAATACGCACCTGGTGTACTTATCAAAGATGAGCTATTAAATGAAATAAAGGAGTTCAATGATCTACTTGTATAAAATGCTTGTGAATGAGTTTTCTCGATAAAATCAGGACCGAGCTCCTTTAGTTCTATTGATTTTAATCTTTTTATTTCAGCTTGATTGAACTTTTCACAATCCTTTTGTAAAAATGTCCACGCATAAGTAATGTCAAGTATTTCTTTTGCAGAAGGTCTTTTTGAAGGATCAGAATTCCAACATTTACTCATTAAATTAGCATAACAATCAGGAGTATCATCTGTAATTTTAGGCTTTTTTCCATCAATAATTCTATAGATAAGTTCCGTATTATGTTCAATATTATCAAAAGGTTTGCAACCCGTCGTAAGTTCCCACATAATCATACCCATACTATATATATCAGAATTCTTTGAAAATGCTTTACCCTGAAATATTTCTGGTGCGATATAGGGTATTACTCCGTATATTTCATTATTTAATGAAGTACTATTGGCAGGTTGTGATAATCCTAAATCACCAATTTTCCACTTTCCAGATGATTCAGTTTCTAACAATATATTTCCACTGTGAAAATCTCGATGTATAAAATTTACCTCATGAATAGTATGAAGTCTAAGAAAAAAAAAAAATTAAAAATATGTAAGAAAATAATATAGCTATATTATAAAAATTGTATATTCACCCAGCTGAAATTTGCCATAATATATAAAGCTTATTATTCCAAGTAACATCCTTAAAATTTTTTTTTAAGTAATCATGTAAATTACCACCGTACGCATATTTCATTATTAACATATAATCATTCGTTTTAAGATCTCTTGTAATACCATAATATCTAATTATATGGTCAAATTTATTATAGCACTGGTAAAGTGATTTTAGCTAAAGAAACCTTTATAGTTAGATCAATCAAAATGCGTAATATTATCGAAGTAAAGGAATAAATAATACCTCATCTAGAAAATATTTGTCCATATCTTTTGAGTTTAAAAACCTTTTTATAGCCACGGTTTTATCTTTTTCTCTAATGCTTAAAAAATCATCATATCGAGAGCTAGCATCTAACCAAATTGCTTTATAAATAATACCAAACCCTCCTTCAGCTATTTTTTCACAATTTGTAATTTGAGAATATGGTATCCATTCCATTATTGGTTTTGATAAAGCATTCTTAAGATCACGTTTGATGTCACTATACTTATCCAACGGATTACAATTTTCATAATCTTTGTTAACATTATTTATGCAGTCAATAATCTGATCGTTATTATTAATATTTAATCTTGTAGAAACAAGAAATTCTTCTATATATAAGTTTCCGCTATTAATACTTGAAGTATCAATAGCTATGCATGTTATTCTTTTACATTTCTTACATTGAGATTGGTTTGTAATTCCAAAAATAATATTGGTTGTTAAACAATATCTACATCCTGTGTAAATTATATAGCAGTGTAAACACCATCTTTGACATTCAGGTATAAATTTTAACACTTTATCACATAAAATACATCTTTCGACAGCATCCCACCATGGTAAATAAAGAATTGGAATAAGTACTTTGGTCAACGCTGATTTTATCCACCCAGAAGATATTAAATAACAAGAACTACATAACGTAAGTTTGATATTATATTTCGAACTTATCATCAATTTTTCACATAAGTTACAGTTTTTTTCGCACTCAATTATCTCGCTATTAAAGGAATCGTAATTTAGTAAAGAATATGTCGATGGAATTATTTGTTTAAAATACCATTTTTGTCTACTTAACGTACTAAGTTCTACATTTTTAGTCGCTTTACGTTTATTATTTGTATTTATTTGTACTATATCAAAGTACTCAATAGGTTTATTAGTAAACTTTTTCATACAAATTTTGCAATATTTTTGTTTAAAATAAAATGTCTCAGAATATTCAAAGTTACAATTATTACATATGTTCTCATTATTAAAAGGAATGAAAAAAATAGGTCCGCGATCAGATTTTAATCTTGGCGTAGGATTAAATGAATCAGATGATTTATCATCATCTGTAGATTTCATTTTTTTTTTTAAAAAAAAAAAAAAAGAAAGAAACGAAACGGTTTTATAGCATTTTAAAACGGATATTCCGAATGCGGTTGAGAAAAGAGATTCAATCAGTATAATTTAAAAATTTTTTTTTATATATCAATATTAATACATATATGGTAAAAAAAATCAGGCAACCCTAGAAATCTAAACTTTAAACTGGTATAAAAGTAAATATTTGATTATTTCTAAATTAAAATTTATATATGTGTTTATTATATGTATATACTACATAATGCACTAATTCCATCTTTTTTCCGTAAAAGGCTGAATTAATAACCTTGTATAACGGCCAAATTGTTTACATTTTCCGTGAATAGCATTTTTACGGAGTTTTTATAGAAATAACGGATAAAATTTTTATATGGATGATTAAAAATTTTTTTTCTTCGCAATAAAATAAGAAAAATCAATTTTTTTGTTAAAATAAAGAAATTTTTATTAAAATGATTTGCATACATTATGTGCATTGATTTATTAGTAACAAAGAAACTTTTTTAACCAAATATGTAGTTATGTAGTTATACAATCAGAAAATCACGTACCTTATTATTAAAATTGTAGAAAAAACGGGTCAATTTTTTTTACAGGTAGGGCATAAACTTGTTCGTTCTTTATGGCATTTATGGCAAATAAAAAATTATTTAGTTATATTGTCATTTTTGGAATATTGTTTCCAAATCGGTTATTCATTTACCGACCATATATTAACAAATTAGTCAATAAATTGTACTAATTTACTAAAAAAGATAAAATTTTTTGATCGGTCTTATTAGACAAATCGGTCGATTGAAGAGTGAAAAATAATAGAAAATAATTTGAGGAACCTGTTTCTTATTGTAAAAAAAAAAATGATTTCATCCACAAATATAAACAAATCAGCTGCAAATAAAAAATAATACAGTATTGTTTAACAAAATGTATTTTTTCAAACCCTATAAAAAATTTTTCAGGAAAAATGATCACGTGTCTGAGTTTCTTCGGAATAAAAACTAGAAAAATGATCATTTATTCAGAATTTTTTTATAGGAAAAGTATATGAAATTCTTTTTTTTTTTTTTTAAAAAAAAAAAAAAAAAAAAAAAAAAGATTTTATTGTGGCTATTAATTTCAAAGTAGTCCAGAATAATAGGATTAAAGTTATTTTGTTTTATAAAATGATCGCATAATAGAGAAAATTGATATTGTTCGATACAAAATTCAAGGTGTTGTACAGTTTCTGTTTGGCAAAAACTGAACATTTATTTAAAGAATTCTTTGATAGATTTCTCTTCATGGGCAAAAAAAAAAAATATTTTTATTTATCATGAGGAATTCTTATTAAGAATTCTAGATTAACTTTGATCCTCATTCCATCGAAGATTTCGCTCGGACAAAAATGGCGAGATTTTGGGTAATCATGTGTAGATCCTTTAATTCATTTATCGTATGTAAATTAATAAGCCGGTTACTTCATTCCTTTCATATTTTTTTTCAATCCGTTTGTCAGAATATACATACATATACTGTATGTACTGTATATAGAGTTTCGTCATAAATTTAAATTTTATTTACATGACACCTTAACTTGTACGATCGTACTAAATAAATGTAAACTTTGACAAACAAGATGATATTAAATTTTGGAGAAAACGTTTATTTATGTTAAATTTTTAAAACCATATACTATATACGTATTTTTGTAATGAAAAATAATAAATGAGTAAATAATCATGAGATAAATTTTTTTTTTTTCACTTTTTTCTTAAAATACTGTTAGAATTTTTTAACAAAAATTATAAAACGCGCAATGGCGCTCAACGTCATGCATAGTTACATGATTTAACTTTTTATTCTATATTATTAGTAGATTAGCTACTAAGTTGATTCTATTAATATAATAATTATATACCGCTTTGCATTATTTAATTCTGCAGCATATACTTCACATATAAGTTTTTCAATTTTTTTTTTATTTTAACAATATTTGCAATATATAAAAAATTAGTATGGATTAAATCTTTTTTTTTTTTTTTTTTGACCATTTCGAGGGTAACTTTGTTTAGTTTAGACCATAGTTTTTGAGAAATCGCACACTATGGCGGCGTTGATCGCCAGTGGTGTGATTTAGTAAAGTTGATTTTTAAAATGAAAATTTTTCCAAGATAAATGTTACACCGACTAGTATAATTTGTCAAATCTTTGTTCGGTATTATGATAACGTCAGCCAGTACCTAATGGCAATAAAATTTCAGTGGGAATTATTGTAAAAGGAAAAATCTCAACCTTTTACGTATTAGTAAAATACAATTTAACGTTCATCTTATTATTTTTTCTTCGTTTTTGAGTTTTGTGACGGTTCACTTAATTTATAGTTCATTAATTAATCATTATTTGATTTTTTTTTTCCTAAAACAAAGATTTTCTTTCGTTTTTTTAGTTCACGATGATGAAATTCAACAATAAGAAACTCTTTTTTCGAATGAAAAATTCTATACATTCATATTGACAAGAATTTCATCAAAAATATTGACGCGGTTATTAATTAATAATCTGATAAAAAATGACATTCACTCTAGGAAAGTTTACAATGTGACTTATATTAATAACTCCTTTTATGTTCGCTAAAACAATTATTATCAATTAGTCTTTTTGGGTTCATAAATTCATACAAAATTCTCTTCCGAGTACATTGTAAAAAAATCAACATATAAAAATAAATTAACATTATCTTAATATCTTCAGACGATCATTTATTTAATGAAATTTGTTAAATAGTAAATTCACATGAAAATAATGATAGTCATGCGGAATTTTTATAATATTGTAAATAATAAATACTAAACATTTGATGACATAACGTCAAAGCCGATATTTAGAAATTAAAAAGGCGAATTATATCTTTTCTCCGTCGAAATATATAAGGGTAAGGTGATTTTTGTACAGTAGCTGTATGAAGGGAATTTTTTTAATATTTGTCCGAGTTCATTATCGCATGATCTTCCATTAGCAGTTGGTCTTTATTTTTACGGTAATATCTCAGTTGTACTGTCTTTTTTCGAAAAATTACAAATTTACCATGAATAGATTCTAAGACATTTGATTGTTCAAATACTTCATTAAAATTAATATTAATTAAATGAACATGACCGATTAATTTAAACTATTTTGGAGTTTTTTAAAAAATTAACCCAACAAGTACAGTATATCCGAATCATCCGGGATATCATGAAAAAATAGTTTCCCATATGATAAAATCATTCATATGCCTTAATTTACCTGAGCATAATTATATGAAATAGTAATATTGACTCCAAAAATTTTCTCTTATTCAAATGATTCAACGCAGAATTCATTTAATCGCATGTTGTGTTTTTCACTTTTGCATGTCTTTTATCATTTTATTTAATCGTTCTTTAAAACAAGTATTTTGTAGCACACTAATATTTCCTAGTTAAGTTAATTTCATAAAATGTCTCAATAAAGCATAATTTGTGCACAATTAGTTATGTGTCACAGAAACTATTTGCACAAAATCTACGCATATTTCAACATGATAACATCTTATTCCCCACACCTATTATGCGACTTTTGCATTAATAAAATTATATAAGCATTTACTTTATACATCAAATTTTTTTGAACCAGTTTGATAAATACAGCAAATTTCTTATGTTGTGATAATTGTCCGGGTTCCTTAAAATAGTCAATTTGTGATACGCTAAATTATGTGTCACATAATAAGTGCTGCAGAAACACATACTTGATGAAAAGCAAAACGATGCGCAAATAAATAAATAATAATGACGATTTTCTCACACTAAAAAATTTAATAATAAGGTATATTTCCTTCTAACAGTCTTAAAATGTTGGTTCGTCCTAATATCTACAAATAATGACCTAATGAATGTAAATATAATTGGCTGATATTTCTTTATCTCTATCATTATCAATCTATAAAAGCTAAATATGGTTTTTCTCAAATTATTAAGATTTAACTCAGGGGCGAAAGTTAATTGAAAGCATCTGTGATGGACCAATGAAATACAGTATGTTGTAA